TTTTCTGTTAGTACTGTGTACCGTATGTTGAAGAATGACGGCGGCGATGATGAGCTCAGCTCGAGCAACCGCCGGGATGATGGGTGGCTCCGCGGCGCCGAGGAGGAGGGGAGGGGGGGGGTCCAGGGTCCTAAGAATTTATAGTTTCTAAGGTATATATAATATATAAAATTAAATTTTGAATGTCCTAAATTTATATTAATATTAAGATAGAAAATTTTTTGGATTTATTCTTTTTGTGTTCCCCATTGAAAAAAATGTTTTCGAATTCATTTAATTTCTTCACCGTTTAGAAATTGTTATTAATTATTTGGGTACATTAATATTCGATTTATGTGATTTTTTTATTTTTTATTTTTCTAATTTGGCTCCTACATTTCTTTTGTTAACAATGTTGATAACCTTTTTATTTGATTTTGATTTAAATTCGTAAAAAATTTTATTTTGATTATAAAAGTAAATATTTGTTTGAAAATATCTTTGTTCTTTATAATATTTACTCAATTTATTAATAGAAAAATAAAAAAGCAGCAAGGTCAAAGAAGAAGATTGAAGCTGTATTATTAAATTGAACCTATTTTGTCGTTACTAACTTTTAGTTGTATTCAGTAATTTATATGGTTAAAATTTAAAATAAGAATAAAAAAAATGTTGAGTGAATTTAGTCCCTTAATCAAGAATTGAAGTACTTATCTTGATTTTAAAAAAATGATTATTTTAGGTTTATTATTAAAATGAAAAGTTGAGGAGTCCAATGGGAAGTTAGTAGCAATCTTAGATCAGTGAGACTATTTACAAATTAGAAAATATAATGAAATCCATATCACCATATGATTGGAAGCACACATAATCTCTTAATTTCAACATCAAACACCGGATAATCACCATTTGAATAATATTGAAACAAATGATTATTCATTCCATTATAATTTCCGAATTTGCAAACCTATTGATATTATATCATAATCATAATGCATCCTTGAACTATATTTTTGTACGACATTTAAATGAATAAAAATTAAATTACATTTTTGGTCTTTAATTCATTTAGTTCATATCTATTATAAACAATACCAAATCCTTGTCTTTTGTTGCAATTTAATATTTATGCTTAACGTTTTTATCAATTAAAAAATGTACCAAAAATCCCTACAATTAGCAAGAATTAAAAAAAAAAATCCAACTCAACAGATTAATTAACAACAGCACTTTAAAAGAAGGGAAATAAACATTATTAGTTTGACTATATAATAGGGTTAGTTCAAGAAATGTCTATACTACAACTACAGGAGATGAATACTACAGTTATTCATGTGAGCATGTGTATCAATAAATTTAACATAGAAGTAGGAAATTTAAAACATTAAAGTTATAAATAAGCATAAAAAGAAAGAAGAAAAAGGGGAAAAGAAATTTAATGATGGGAAAAGTAATAATAGAGGAGGGGGGGAAAAAGGAGTAGGTGGGTGGGGAGTGGGGGATGCATTTTCCAGAGGAAAGCAAGGAGTGGGACCGACCCCTCCTCCATGCTCTTCAATACAACAGCTCACGCTGGGTCCCACCTTCAACCCCCACTATTTCTCTTTTGTTTCATTATCCCCCTTCTTCCACTCCCACACCACTAACCTCAATCCCATCCCCCCTTTTTGTTGCCATTTTCATCGACACCACCCTCCCCTCTACGATTAATTTCTCGAGACAACTATCTACAACAAGTAAAAGTGAGAGATTCAATCCAAGGGGACGATTCTTAAAATTTTAAAAGTTTGTAAGGTATGAGCATTAGTAATTTCGTATCTTTGTTGGAGGGGTGGGTCACTTAACTTTATTAGCCAACCCGACACAAATACGTACATTTGTAACGGTTAGGGAATAAAAAGATATTTGAATGAGTCAACCAAATTATCAAGGAGAAAAAAGGAAAAAGAAAAATGAATATGAAGATAGATAGATAGATGGATACCATATGGGCCAGAGAGGCACCGGCGGCCCACTAATTGGGCCCAATAACTAAAAGTGTCTCAATCTGTGAGTTGGAAGAGACACATTCCCATCAAAGAGCTGTTTGTTGCCGCCTTGCAATAATACAATTAACACACAAACGGACAAACTGCCACCTACAAATTCTTTGTCTACATTTCACATTTCAGATTTAATGATTCGTAAAAGTTAAAAGAGGTTAACTTGCTATTTAAGTGTTTAATTTTAATTTCAATTTAACGTGTCATTTTCTTTTCAAAAAAGGAAAACATATGTGATGCAAGAATATGTTCGACGTGCTATCACTATGAGTTGGCCCAATATATAGTACATGAACTAAAAAACTAAAGAATTTTTTAGAAATAGGTTAAAAATTTATAATGGCAATTTAAAAAAAAATATATACAGTGTCATGTTAAAAGACATTTTAGAAAAATCCTATGAAAAAACTCTTAAGGAGCAGTCCAGTCGATAAGGTCTCTCAACTAAAGAATCTCAAATTTAAACCTTTCATTAAGTTTAATATAAAAAAAATCTTGGGAAAATATATATATATATATATATATATATATATATATATCCTCTGAAAAAAACTAACAAAGGACTAAAATGGTATTTTACTTATCAAATAAGTTTGGGAGGAAATAATTTAATTTTACTGTTAGACAAAAGACGGTATCGTCTTCGACGTGACAAAACAAACCGACATAGGGAGGATCTCATCTTGTTCACTAAGCAGTAGCAAAATTCAGTAAAGCCATGGCGGGGGAGGAAGCCACGTGCACAGGCACGTGTAAGCCGGAAGAAGAACAGGAGTGTCATTTGGGGACAAAGGCCTTGAAGATATAAATGGAAAACAGTGATCGAAAGGAGCGGAGGATCAATCGAGAACGATGAAGAAGTGAAGGAAGAGATAATGGCAGAAGCAGGCAGAAGAGGAGGAGGAGGAGGAATCAGAGCCTGCAACCAGAGCTGTGGTTGCGCCGTCCCCTGCCCCGGCGGCAACGCCTGCAGGTGCGCGACGGCGAAGGTGGAGACGGCAGGCGGGGATGCGGCGCACCGGTGGTGCCCGTGCGGGGAGCACTGCGGATGCAACCCTTGCACGTGCCCCAGTGCGGTGGCCGGAGTCGGCAAGGATTTCTGCAAGTGCGGCGAAAATTGCCGATGTGAAACTTGTGGTGCTGGATCGGGATGAAAGTGGAACCTAAACATAAACAACTTCTGAAACGTCGTCGTTTTAGCTTGGTTTCTGAACTGTGGCTTAAACGAAACTATTGTGCGATTACAATAAAACACTATTGTATTGTAGTACTCTACGTACAATATGCTTTTTCTATCTTTTTTGTTTCTTTTTTTTTTTTCGGAGGAATATCTTTTTTGTTTCTGTTCAGTCACTAAATTAATAATAAAAATCTTAAATTATTTGGTCAAATTATCCTCCTAGTCATATCATGATTTGTCTTGGTTTTAGTTTTGTTCTACAGTTGAAAAAAAACAATCAATCTTCTTTAAATTAATTGAAATCTTGGGAGATTAAACATAAAATACGCGGAGCTGAGTGTTATTTTAAAGATGTACTCGTTTTCTTTTTTCCTTTCGATTCTTTGTTCAAAGAAAAAAATAAACTTAAGATTATGGCACTGTGAACTCACCTTGATAAGGATTTAGAAGTTGTTCTCAATCTGAAAAGTAAAACTGTTGTCAATCCACTCATCGTTCTGCAGATTCCTCTGAGAGAAGGTAGCTTCCCCACTGTTCTTCACAGACAAAGCAGAAATGCTTCCAGTTCCATAGCGTCCCTATACAAAGGATCAAACCCATTTCAGCTGCTGCATAGATATCTCAGAAAAAGCAAACAAAATGACATCTTTTTTACCAGTTCGGTGTCTGTATCAACAAATATGGAACTATATTGGTACTCCCTCCGGGGAGAATATATGCCCGGTAGCAAGCTCTCGTCATCTTTGATTGTGTTCGTCATTAGTTTCTCAACCATCTCTTCTGTTGGAAGTTCTCTGTCGCCATTTTTGTCCACAAGATCTCTGAAACTCTGATCCAGCCGCTGCGCCTACGAATTTGGGCAATTGGGAAATTGGGCAAAACTCTCTACTGAAACCCCAAACAGAAGCTATGAGGGATTTGGGATGTTTCTTTCTTACCTTGGGCCATGGAGAGTCGAGTTGTGCGTTTGTAAGGACATGTATGCCGGGGGAAACCTCAGTGACGAGGCTGGGGCTGTCATTTGTTGGTCTGTTGGTGATATAAAACATGGTTTTGGAGGAAATTTCAGCTACTATCAAGTTGAAACCATTGTACTGGTCTGCTTCTTTTGCAACTTCTTTGGCAAAGTCGAGGGGAGCCTTCTTGCTCTGCCAAGGCAAAAACACAGGACAGTCATCAACCAGCTGATTCATGTCCATTTCAACCTTAACTTGCATGAACTTTACTGAAAAGAAAACTGCGGTTGCAGAGCCGATCATTAGGTAGGATTTTGCTTGTTAATGCCTATTGGAAGATGAACTCATCGACGGGGATTTCTTATTCATGGACTTCTGAAAACGTTTGATGAAGATGGTTGTTGAGAATGGTGTCTGCACTTATTCGGTGTCTTCAATCTTTCCTACTTTTTGTGATCATCACCTCCTAAAGCTCTTAACTGAGAGTTGTTTAGTTCTAGAATTCTATATAATTCTCTCTCTAGCTGGAGATTGAGGACGAGCAAACGCAGTGAAGGTTCGTGTTTCTTGACCTTTTTCAAGTTCAAGAAAATGATTTTTGAGATATATCTTCAATTATCTTTATATTTCTCAAAGATGTTCTTCTTACATATGTGTTTAGAGTTTTTTCCACGTCTAAAGCATGTGTAACTAAGTCCTCAATCCAATAAGAATGACCATTATTTTCAGTCTCTGGCAAGAAGGACGAGCAAAGCTTTAAACATGTTCTATCTTCAATCTTGAATCATCGCTAGTAATTTCAACCAGTTTTTCCTATTCACCAGTACACAGCACTCTAAAACAAAACTATCAGATTGGTTTGCAACCTAGCACAACAGCATAATGTACCCAAAATTGCAGACTTCATCGGCGAAAATAGGTTAGATTCAAATTCCAGTTTGGTGTATTTGTAACTCTCTTAGAGTTGTAAGCTCGAAATAACAAATACTACACGATTGATTTTCGAGTAATTTCATGAAACTATCATACCCAATTTACCTTACCTTCAAGAAACGAACGGGGAGCTCTCCTCTGCTCTTAGCCTGAGGAAGCGACTGAACTTCCCTGAAATTAGTGACGAACGCAACTCTGCCATTTCTCGAGCAAGCCAGCCAGGTACCACCGGCCAGCCCATCTCTTCCGCCCAAAATATCGCCACATTCCCACCATTCAAGCGGCTTCGTGGGCCTGAACAGGGAAAATCAGAGCAATTTCACAAAATCCGAAACTACCGAGTGATTCCCCCTGTAAAATGAATGGAAACGCCGGAGAAATTGGACAGACCTAGTGCGATATTCATCCCGGTTGAGGAGAAGGAAGAATGGATATAGCGGGTGAGCTTGCCATAGAAACGCTGCGATACACATGATGAATTCGAACCGACAAACTGACGTTGGAGATTCGACGGTCCTACGCCGAGCTGGTCCTTCGCTTTATAGGAAATCCTTCGATTGACATTCGCCATCTGCACTGGCTCAAGCTCTTGCTTGCAGGCATCCATGGCAGCTCCTGGTCTGGGCCCAATACCCACGGAAACCGGAGAGTGGATCCAAATTGGATCGAATTAAAACGTGGGCCTAAGTTTACTCTATCGTTCTCAATTTAAAAATGAATTTTATTATATTTTTAGATATCTGTAGTGTATAGGTTGAGTAGGTAAAGTTTATTTTCATGGCTACAATGTTTAAATTACACCCTCTCGAATTTTGTTGTCAAAATATCACCATTTAAGTAAAAATGATAGATATTCAAATTTATGAATACCGTCTTTTGAAGCAAATTCGAAAATTGTCTTAAAAAATGTCAATTTAGTAGATAAAATATTTATTATCATTTTAATAGGCAGAGAAAATAAGAGTGGGAAGCGAAAAATGAAACCAACTTAAAATTAAGTCACGGAAAGATATTTTTATAGAGAGGGAGGGAGAGATGGGGACGGGGAAGAGAGATAAAGGGGAAAATGAAAAAAGATATTATACATAAAAATTAAAAATAATATAAAATATTTCACTCACTATTGTCGCGTCATCATTTTGTTAGTATCACTTATTCAAAGACTTTTTAAATAAATTGAGATCAAATTGTGACTTATTTATTTATGGGTAATTGTAATGGGTAGCAAAAACATTTTATATATTTCAAAAAATGTCACCAACTTTTTAAAATTTCAAATATAGCAAAATATTTGAATTTTTATTTTCGGATTTTTTATTATTCCAATTTTACCCTTATTATATATAATATATATCTAATATACATCCAATTTATATCTGGTATACATATGATGTATATCATAAATCAAATCTATATCTGATATACATCTTATGTAAATTTGTATATGATATACATCAAATCTATATCTAATGTACATCCGATGTAACTCTAATATACTTCCGATATACATTCGATGTAACCCTAATATACAGTATCAGATATACCATGATATACATTATCAAATTTACTACTGATACATCAAATGTACATATTATACATATAATATATATATATATATATCTGATGTACTTCTAATTTATGATATACTAAATATATTTCCAACTAATATACTAAATAAATTTGCAACTGATATACTAAATATAAGTTATATCAAATGTTTAATTTTTAGTAGTATATCAGCTGTTTAAATTATAGTTTATCATTTCAATTTGTTGATTAATATACTAATATTATCATTAATGTTGATTACTATGTCACTACTATTTATTCAATATTAATATTAGTTAGATGCTAAATATATGGAATATCAATTGTTTAAATTTATAAAGTACATCAAAATGTTAACTTGTCTTTTTGGACATGCATGGTCCACATAAACCTTTTATATAATAACTTTATATTTCAAAAATAAAAAATAAAAAATTTTGCACCATTGTTTTCATCGGAAAAAGATATTGGATATAATAGTATGATATCAACACACATATGATATCAAAATATATATATATATATATCAACACACATATATAATAGTTATATTAGTAGATATAATGGTTATATCGGAGGTATATAAGTGGTAAATTATAAGCATATTAAGTATATATCAATGTTATATTAGTGATAAATCATATAATCTATTATAAGTTATATCAGTAGATACCATAGTTATATCAGTGGTATATCATTTGTATATCAATGGTAAATTAGAGACATATCCAATATATATCACATATATATGTATTGTATTAGCATGGTAAATCAATAGTTATCATACGTATATCAATGGTAAGACATGCTAGAAGTTGAGTAGATATCATGGTTATATCATAAGTAAATCAATTGTATATCATTATTATATCAGTGGTATATCAGAGATATATATCCATAGTCAGATATATTAAAGGGTGAATTTGTAATTTTACAACTACCTCCGTTTTTTTTTGAAAAAAATTGCTATATTTGAAAAAACTAAATCTGGTTACTATTTTGTTTATTTTACTAAAATTTGTTGCCATATTTGCAAGTGCCCATTTATTTATTAATTTATGGGATCAAATTGAAACCGTGATGAATGTTTTTTAATTAAGATTGTCAAACTAAAATATAAAGATAAAATGGATACTTACAAAATCGTGGGGTGAAATATATACAAACACGGAAATTGGAGTTGTTAAATTACAAGTCTCACAGCTTCCACAAGGAACAGAAACTGAGAAAAGTCTCTTCTCATAGAAGAAAGTCTCCCCGATTTCTCATTTTCTTATTCTTTTTTCTTCTCATCACAGTCGGTGGGAAGCAGAAGACTCGACTGTATCGCCCATGTTTCTCACTCGAGAAGGGATGGCATTTCCTCTGGGTGTGCCAATTGCCATTTTTCTGTTACAGGTGAGCTCTTTTTTACTTCCTTTGCTTTTCAGATGCTTTTTCGCTCTTGAATTAGACTTCCATCAGCTCGTGGGCATGTTATGATTTACGTTCAAAGGGACAAAAAATTTCAAATTCTATATCCCCATGTTCTGATGAGTTTCCATCAATATGGGTGCGCTTGTTTTCGGCTTAATTATCATTGGCTCACACAAATTTGACTTGGAACTCCAAAATAGTATACTGGAGTGTGTGTTTTAATGGGGGAATCGGAGGCCATGTGCGCTTGGCGATTCAAAACAATTGATTATATTCTCTTTTAGTTACGGGGCATATTAGGTGGTGATACTTCAGCTGGTTGGTGTATGTGTGTGTGTTTCAAGTCGTTAAGGTGGATAAATTTTTTTTTTTTGTTGGTGTAGATGATCTTCTTTGTATCTATGCTGATAGGAGGGGAGACTTATTTATCTGATCCCGTGCGTAACGTTTTCACTTCCGGGTAAGACCGATCATATTTCATGTCAATACTGTATTCTCGTAACCCGTGGCTATCGTTTTCTTTTTGTTAATTTTTTCTTCTTCTTTATGATATTTCCTGTTTCTGAGATCCATGGTGCTCCAGTTTAGTTGATGTCTATTGTGGATACTAATTTCCCAGCGACAGAGTTGGAATTTTGTTCGAGAAGTAGTAGATTCTACAGTTTTATGGTCAAGTTCTGATCCACTATTGGATATGGCAACTGTGACATCATATTCACTCAAACTTGGCTGTTAGCTACAAAGAATTACATTTGTTTTACTTTTTTTTTTTTATCAGTAATGTGTTGGATTCATTTTTTTTTAATGTAATCTCTTACTTATTTTTGTATAACTTTTTATCAGTGAATGTTACTCTCGACATGCTTTGCTCTCAATTAATTCATTAATTGTCATCCATTGTTATTTGATGGTTGACTTTCTAACATTGATAATTACTTTTATCCGTTTGAATCTAGGAGTTCAGAGTTATTAGTATGGGATGAAATTGACTTTATCAAATGGCACCTGTTTCTGTCAGGGAGAGACATTCAACAGAGTACTGTGCTATGTATGATATATGTGGAGCACGAGGTGATGGGAAAGTTCTGAACTGCCCCTATGGTTCCCCATCTGTGAAGGTCTTTATCTTTCAGCTAATTTTAGGATACCCGTGCATAAGTGTTTTTAAATGACCCTTGTATACTATGCTCTGCAGCCTGATGAGCTGTTCTCAGAAAAAATTCAAAGCCTGTGTCCTACAATAAGTGGAAACGTTTGTTGTACTGAGGCTCAATTTGACACATTACGGTCACAGGTTCAACAAGTAGGGCTCATCTCCCATCTTTGAACATTTGGTGATACATTGCTATCTTTAATGATTAATTGTTAATGGAATTGAGATTTAGAAATTGCACGTACAGATCTAAAAAAGGAGTGGTGGAATTGTTTATTTTTTAGTGTTGTTAACTGTTTTTGTATGATCATCTCCTGTTCCTTAATAGTTTAGGGGCATGGGACAATATATGAATATGATACTATCTTCAAGCTTTTCTTAATTGTCTGTTTCTCTGAATGAACTGTATCTTGTCATGTTGTACAAGGTTATCTACAGCATTCTAGCTGCTTTGTGGCTTGTAGATGCTCGCCACCTGATTTAGAGTTTGCTAAGTGCATGACTTATGTTTTTGTTCATCTCTACGTTCCACAAACACAATTGTTTTTATTTACTGCAGGCTATTCCACTATTTGTGGGCTGTCCAGCATGCTTGAGGAATTTCCTAAATCTTTTTTGTGAGCTTTCGTGCTCTCCAAGACAGAGTCTATTTATCAACGTGACGTCCATTTCTGAGGTAAAGCGTTATAGTTAGCTTTTACTTTTGTGTCTGCTAGCTATTCTTCAATAGGATTATTTAAAGCTGATGGGACAAAAATTATAAAAAAAGAGCATCCATGAGTTAATGTTTTTCATGGTTAGATGGGTTTCTATTTGCTTAACAGTTTCACTTTTATACTCTTGCGTTATCGTTATGAAAACTCAAAAGTCAGTCATAAACCACAAAATTTTAGCTTCAGGATTATGTATCACTGGTTAAGATATTACCAGCTGCTTTTCCCTTGGAATTATGATATAATTAGCATAACAAGGGAATTAACTCTCTTCACAAATTACGAAAATGCATAGGTTGGTGGAAATATGACTGTGGATGGCATTGACTACTACGTAACTGAGAAGTTTGGAAAAGGGCTTTATGATTCCTGCAAGGATGTTAAATTTGGCACCATGAATACACGTGCCATAGACTTTGTTGGTGGCGGTGCTAAAAGTTTTGAAGGTAATATTTCATGAGCCGAGATCATCACTACGACACTACCATAAAGTGCATGCATTTATATTGATGCGACAGTTATCTGTATAATCAATCACTCTTATATTCTGTCTTATACCTCCCTTCATCTTTTTTTTTTCCTGTCTGACAATGAAGTCTTTATTAATATTCTTTATACATTTTTTTTGTTAGAACTTTTTGCATTTCTTGGCAAAAAAGCAGCCCCTGGCTTTCCTGGATCACCTTATACCATAAATTTTAAGTTGAATACTCCAAAGTCATCTCCAATGGAGCTTATGAATGTGTCTGTTTATTCATGCGGTGACACTTCACTGGGCTGCTCCTGTGGTGATTGCCCTTTATCTCCTGTGTGCTCTAGCTTAGAACCTCCTTCTCCACCAAAAAGCAATGCCTGCTCCATCAGAATTTGGTTTCTTGAGGTTGGGTGAAAATTTTGATATCCTACCTTATTGAAACTTTATGTTCATATATTCATTAATTGATTGGACAATAACAGTCAAACACATGGGCATTAAAAATTATTGCAGCTTTTGGAACTTTAGAATGGACAGCTAGAGTACCATTTAAATAATTTTTGTGTTGTGTATACCTTTAACTTAGCATACTGATATAAACTTCATGCACTGTCACGTTGACTCTTGCAGAGCAGTTGCATTGACTTTTCAATCACAATAATTTATATTATATTTATTTCCGCATTCCTCGGATGGGCCTTGTTTCATCCTGCAAGAGAGAGGAGATTTTCAGCTAGGGAGGAGCCCTTATTAAACATTGGAGACGGTCACGAGATCAGTTCTGTTAACTTAGAAGAGAATGAGTATAGTGCAACAAAGGTAGGTTTGGATGTCGTATTTAAGTTTTCTTTATTCTTGATTTCCAATTTCACCTTAGGCATTAGATTTTATTTGTGGTTGCCCATTTAAAATTTTATGATGTCTAATCTTTCTCAAGAATGGCATTTTCTTTTCCAAAACATCTTGTGCACTTTATCTTTCATACTGATGCTGAGAATCTTGACCAAATCTACTCTCGGCTGTTCTGACACCAGACAGATCCTTATTCCTATATCTGAAGGTTACAGTGTTCTTTAGGGTCAGTCTTACAAATCATTTGATCATAGCCTAGCCTAGTACAATTTGGATATGTATACGATTGAGGTGTTTTTAGTTTGAATGGTTACATTTCAATTTTTTTGACATATATTCATTAAAACAGGCTAGGCTATGATCTGTCTGGTGTCAGTTTCTTCACAGCTTGTGAACTTTTTGTTGCAGTTTCTTCACAGGATGGTTGTTCATAGTTTTTGCTCTGGTTTTTTTCACGTGTGAAAAGTTCCGTTGCGAATGTTTATGTTGTACTTTGCTCTCTCATTTTTTTTCCCTCAAATCTTCAGGAGCATGGGGCGCAGCTTACATTGAGGAATGGTATTCAGCTTTCCACTATCCAAGGATACATTTCTAACTTTTATAGGTGAATGTCTTGTCCTTTGCTAAACGGTGAAGCATAAGCTATTTGACTAATCAACTCTTTTATATACAATCTTGTGTTTGTAGGAACTATGGAGCTTGGGTTGCTCGGAATCCTATCCTAGTGCTGTTTTCCTCTTTATCAATTGTTCTGATTCTTTGTGTGGGTCTGGTTCGTTTTAAAGTTGAAACTCAGCCGGAGAAGGTAACATATTTTTCTTGCACATTGGTAGATGATGTAGAAGTATCTAACTTTGGGTCTTTACTAAATTAATTTGTTTGAATTTGTGTGAGCAAAGAACTATTTCTTTTCAGTTTGCAGTATTCCATTATGGTCTCATTATGGTTGCAATTACCAATCCCAATTTCTTCATCTTTGGTTCTGTTTTATACAGCTATATTTTTTTATCATTTAAATTTGTCAAAGTACTGAAAACCACGCTAGGGACTTCATCTACAAAGGAATTTGTCTTTGACTATGGTAGCCATCTTGTCAACTGGAAGTGGACTTCTCTTCCGCCTCCTCTTGGTGGCCTAGGCATAGTTGCTTTTTAAGAAGAGGAACAATGCCCTCCTTCTAGAATGATTATGGAGGTTTATTCATGAGGATCAAGCTCAAACTAAGACTCCCCTATGAAATACATTATCACAAGAAAAATTGCTATCTAGTGCCCTATTTCCTTTTCTCTTCCTTTGAGTGTTTATGTGTGTGCTTGTGTAATGTAGCATTCTAAAATTGAGGTGATTTAACTGATTTGAGGTTGCAGTTATGGGTAGGTCATGGGAGTAAAGCAGCAGCAGAGAAGCAGTTCTTCGACAGCCAGCTTGCACCCTTCTACAGAATTGAACAGGTGACAGTGGTGTTTATTTTTCTAGTTTTTCTACCTCTTAAATGTTAAACCATTTCATGTCTGCTGATGTATATCTACCTAAGAAAAAAGGAAAATGGGAAAGGCCCCCATGGGACAACTCGGTTGGCAAGGGCTTGAAGTATCTTGGTCATCCTGGCTTAGAAGTCTCAAGTTCGTATCTTTTGGCGAGCTTAATATCAAAAATCCTTGATGTCTCTCGGATCCGGGCTTTGGGGCGGGCGTGGATGTCTCTGGTACAGGGGAGCAAAGGTTTGAATCTCAGTTATTAAAAAAAAAAAAGAAACGAAAAGTAAACTCAAGTATGTTATAAAGAGACATCAGATATAATTTTGTATAAGACTGAACATAATCAGAGGAGGTGGTACATGTGACAAGGAAGAGCGATTAGAATTTCTATCAAGTGGAGACAAGATTTTCTTTGATCAGAATCGTAGCATGAGTATAATGACAGCATTTGAAATTAAGCTTCTGTGAGGGTATGGTCTTTCCATGGGGGATGTTGCAGGCAAGGATGCAGAGGTATGAATATAAAATGCTCTGTCTTGGACGTGATAGAGGGTGGGGTGAAACTAGTTCTTTTCAAGGATCAACAGGTTTTTGTGATATTCTTGTAAGTGTTGACATGGAAAAGTTGGAAATTCTTCACTAGAAGAGGAAGTTCTGAACGCTTCCTACTTTATTGATTTGTTATCTGCTTCAATATGGTTGTGGATTTTTGTGATTATGGTCACATTTCTTTTCCAATCTGTCTCTCTATCTTTCTCTCAAGTTACAGTTTAAGTTCTGTATTATCCCACTAATGATTTAATAACTAATGGCAATATGTGTGGTGTGCGCATATGTTTCAGATGATAATAGCGACCAAGCCTGAAGAAAGGCATGGCAGGGCACCACGTATAGTTACAGAGGATAATATTCTATTACTCTTTGATATACAGGATAAGGTCTTTTGAGCACTTGATGCTTCTTCTAACTATTTGTCTTGTTTTCTCACTTAGTCTGAGTTCAATTCTGAGTTCTCTACGAACTTTTTTCATGCTACAATTTCAATAGGTCAATGAACTTGTTGCGAATTATTCTGGCTCACTCGTATCCCTTAATGATATATGCTTGAAGCCACTTGGTGAGGATTGTGCCACACAAAGTATTCTACAGGTTTCATGCTATTTCAATTCTCTTCTAATTGGATAAAGCTTCTATCACTTTTCTTAAAGATATGGTGCAATGAGATTGACTGTCCATTGACTTTTTCACACATCTTTTTCCTTTCCGTCTTCATTTTGGAAGCAAATGTTTTCTTTTTAGCATACACAGTTTGTAAAATATATTCAAGTTTTCTTTTTTTCTTTTCACATGTTTATTGAAGAATAAGAATCCTTACTATCTTATTTTATTTTATGATTTAAATTTGTTTTAGGGTACATGCAAATCTAGCATAATTTAGATAGAATATTCAAAATAGTAGCTAAAAAAATAATTACATTTACAAATGTAGCAAAAATCAGAACACACGTAATTAATGATTATTTTATGCTTGTCTTTTTACTATTTACTATTTCGAGGGTTTGTATCTTTGAACATTTGGTTCCTTTTAATATCTTCAATGAAAATTAGTATCTTGTTCAAAAAAGTAGGTTAGTCTATAATTATAATTAATTAATATCTAGGTTAATTACTAACTTATGCAAATCAGTCACTGTCATACAAAATAAAAGCATAAAACTATATTGACTGCCCTTATTAAAGCTAATAAATGATTAATAAGTTCAAAATATTTCGCATTTATTTTTTTAAAAATGCTATAATTATAATTACTTTTATAAAATACACGTTTACTAATATTTTAGAAAATAAAGTGCCCATTCAAATTCCCTTTGTTTTACAGTACTTCAAGATGGACCCTGAAAATTATGACGACTATGGAGGAGTACAACATGCTGAGTATTGCTTCCAGGTGAAATTATCGAAATCTCAGTTCTCATCTTTCTTAGTTTAACTTGGGATTTTTTGTTTACGCTTTTTAATTGTAAATTGTAATCATATTAACTTTGAGCCCTGTATCATCTTGTCTTCAGCATTATGCTTCCACAGAGACATGTTTCAGTGCTTTCAAGGCCCCGCTTGATCCCAGCACATCCTTGGGTGGATTTTCTGGGAACAATTATTCTGAGGTTGTATTTTCCCCCTTACTTGTAGATGTTTTTACAACTTTTCCTAATATTTTCTTGATTCTGTAATTTCAGGCCTCTGCATTTGTTGTCACATATCCTGTTAATAACGCAATTGATGCAGTTGGCAATGAGAATGGGAAAGCAGTAGCGTGGGAAAAAGCTTTTGTCAAGTTAGTTAAGGTTTGAGCAGTTTGCTTGTTTAGTTTTGTAGATGCTTTGATATGAATGCTTCACGAGTATTCCTGATTGAGGCATCACCTCATATTTTTTACTCCTGTGAAATGTTGTAGTCATACTATTGCTATTGCACTCCAAGGGGGTAAGGCCGTTCTGTTCTTGGATTTCCATGCTGTGTTCTTTTGGGATTTATAGTGCAAATACAATAAAAATAAGTTTTTATAATGGAATAATATATATATATATATATATATATATATATATTTCTTTATCAACAAATATAGTATCATGAAGAATAGGATAATGAATATTTAAATTAGAGCTTTTATAAGGGATTGTTGGAAGGAATGAGGGCTTATAGAATATTATTTTTTAATTTCTATTAAAAAATAAAAAAATATTTAGGTATGTGCTGGCTGCCTTGCTGGCCTTTTCTTTGAACCAGGCTAGACATATTTTTTAGATCACTGGTCTGATGCTTGTTCGTGTCTGAACATTTCCAGTTGCCATATTTTATTGTTAGCATATGATATCATTTGCAGGCGTAATAAATTTTTAAAGGGTATTGTAAATTTCCAATGCGAGAGCTACTACCAAATATACAATATAATATCTATGAACTTCTTTGGATATGCTATTTCAGAGGAGTGAAGGGGGTGTGGAATTCCCGGCAATATAAAAGGGAGAAGTTTTCCTCCATGGATCATATTCCTTTGTAGATATTATTTTGTATATTTGGGATTAGCTATTATCTTTTCATTTTATATTTGCCGCACGTCTCTTATTTCTTAAAGGCTATGATATTCTCCTTCTCTTTGGCAGCTGTAAATATATATTAGCCTTTTTTAACTGTTAACAATAATTTTACGTTAGCTCATTTGCAGTTTTAATTCAATGAATGAGAGAGTATATTTCTTCAAAGACTTAAAGGGGAGAAATTTGGGGAGGGTATTAGAGCGTTGTAACGATATGCAAAAGTGAACAACAATCATGAAGGAGCTTCCAATTTTTCCAAGTTTTTTTTTCCTTAAAAAAATAAATACCTTCTAACTAAGAGAGCTGATTACAAAATAGGTGAAAAGGAATCTCGTCCTTAAATCATGGAAGAAGATGGGTTAAAACGTAGTTTTTATCCCTAAAATTTATCCAGTTTTTACTTCCGTTCTTAAAATTTTGAAATTTTCATTTTGGTCATTGAATTATTGTCCACTTTCTATATTGGTTTTGGGAATAATTGAATGAACATTGCTCCAACTTACATTGACAGGAGGAGCTGCTGCCACTAGTGCAGTCCAGGAATCTTACTCTTTCTTTTTCGTCAGAGAGCTCAATTGAGGAAGAACTGAAAAGAGAAAGCACTGCAGATGTCCTGACAATTGTTGTAAGTCAATGAAGAGTGATTTCTTTTTTTTGTTAATTTAAGGCAAAATATAATTCAAACAATACAGTTTTGTCGTAGGTGTCAGTCAATTTATCGACCTTTTGTACTTGATTATAAGCATTTATTTAACTGCATCACGTTATTTACTTTATGCCGTTGATCTCTAACATTTATCAGGTAAGCTACCTTGTTATGTTTGTCTACATATCAGTGGCTTTGGGAGATTCAAGTATTTCTTCTTCTTTCTACCTGTCCTCTAAGGTGGGTGTTGTACTTATGTTGGTTATTTTGTACCCTTAAATTATGGCTGACTTGTGGTTTAATTTATTTATGCTACTTGCCTCTTATTTATGGAGCCTGGTAATTAACTGGTCATTATTCTACATCATTAAGAATTACCAGCATCGTTGCCTCTAAGGGGCAACAGTGATAAGAGCTTGAGATGTTTAAGAGAGGTCTCCCAAGGAGAGGTGCGTTATAAAGTATAAACACAGCAATTCAAACATTTATAAAAGAACAATATGAAAAATTAAATGATAGCCCATGATGACTACCTACCATAAAATTAGTAATTCTTATGCGTTTCCCGGCACCAAATGTTGTAGGATCAGACAGTTGTCCTACGAGATTAGTCAAGGTGCGCGTAAACTGGCCCGGAAACTCACAGATATAAAATAAATAAATAAATAAATGATAGTCGAATATAAAAACAAATAAGATTCTGAGAGGAGGGGTCAAGATAATATAAGAATAAAAACAATTAAAAACCCCCCTTATGGAAGAAACTAAAGAATAAGGGAGAAGGAAGAATCAAAAGCACAATTTTGTCCTTGATCATTAATCATTGTCTTTTCCACATTCCATTCTCTGCTCATGTTGAAAACAAGGTCAGAAAAAGATTGTTTTTGGATGGGCTGTGGACTAAATTCTTCTCCCCACCTTACCTCTTGCCATTTCTACTCTATATGCTATACTTAGCTTACATTTATGAATTCAATGCATACTTTCTAATCAATGATTGATTGGCTCTATAATTGGATGAGCCTGTTAACTTTTATATACCTTCTTGACTTTGAAATTACTGCTATATTAAAAATTTATTTTATAATTTTGAGTTTATTTTAAAAAATATATAACTATAAAATGTTTTATTAATCTAAAAGATTATTTATTGAAATTTTTGTAGATTTGATTTTCATGAGGTTATTAATTATTATTTAAAAAATAAAGGTTTCTTTGGGTTTAGAAATGTTATGATTAATATGAAAGAAAATTAAAAATTTTGTCTCTTTAAGCCCGTTGGTATAAGGTATAAATAATCATTGTTTAAGTTAAACTTCCAAACTATTTGATGTGATTTGTCTTCCCATTCATATTTTCGTAGCCTGTCCTTTTATTTTATAGGAAGCACGATCTCATTTCTTCATGTTACAGATATTCGTCGATCTTAATCCCAAGACCCACTGCATGCTGCTGTTTTATTTGATTGTGCTTTCTCATCTCATGCCAAGCTTTCAATTTAAAATTTTCAGGTTTTGCTTGGCCTTTCAGGAGTTATTCTTGTCGTGCTCTCTGTTCTAGGATCTGTTGGATTTTTCAGTGCCATTGGAGTAAAATCAACATTAATAATTATGGAGGTTATTCCATTCTTGGTCTTGGCGGTAGGTAACTGTGATGCTTTGAAGTTTATATTTTTCTGTTGATTCTCTTAATATCAGTCTGTTATTACATAAAATGGCCAAAAAGTGCTGTTATAACCATTTTGTTGTTCTTTTGAGTTTCCCATTGTCAGAAAGATGGAATAATGGTGTCCTGTATTTGAGATTAAGGTCATTGGTTCTAATGAATGTGGAGTATGCATGAAGTAGGCAAATCCTGTTATATCATATATGAACTATTTGAATATCTCATCTCTAAACACTCTCTTAGGATTCCTACAAACAAATCTTGCAAAAAGAGTACAATAAGTTTCCATTCTTAGGCATCTAAATAATCACACGTCCAAGGATGCCAGGCATTTGGATTTCTCGTAAGTTAATGGCCCATTTAGAGATTTCTTGAATTTTTTGTTAGTACCAGCAGAAGGGAGCAAATCTTCGTTCGAAAGCTTCTAAATTCAAAGCCTTTCAATAGTGTGTTCTCTCTGGCTTATTTGCAAATTATTCTCATAGTATGATTTGTTCAAATTGGGAGGTTTTGTAACTCCCCTTTAGTTTTATGTTCTTGATTTGATATTGTTTTGTTTGTTTTTTGTTGAGTATGATTTGTTCAAATTGGGAGGTTTGTAACTTCCCTTTAGTTTTATGTTCTTGTATTTGATATTGTTTTGTTTGTTTTTTGTTTTTACTCCCTCGGGAGTTCGTATCTTTTAAATATTTTTGTTACTATTCATTTATCAATAAATAAAAAGTTCGTATCTTGTTTAAAAAAAAAAGTACGCCATACCCAATGCATGTTAATTTCACAAATTGGAAATGGATAGAGTACTTATGGTTTCTCCTTTCCACTGCAATTTTTTCCCCCAAATATTTGTTTATTAGTGGAAGTTATCATCTGACATATTCTCTCCTCGGTGCCTTAATCAGGTTGGGGTCGATAACATGTGTATACTAGTACATGCTGTGAAACGACAGCCATTTGAGTTGACTTTAGAAGAGCGCATAAGCAGTGCGCTGGTTGAAGTTGGTCCTTCCATTACACTGGCTAGTTTGTCAGAGATCTTGGCATTTGCAGTTGGAGCTTTTGTTCCCATGCCAGCCTGTCGTGTCTTTTCCATGTTTGCTGGTGAGAAATTTTTTTCCCATCTTACTTCATTGGCTAGAAATATTAGTTATCTTTGCCATTCTGGCTAACTGTCTTCTTTCTTTCTTCCTTTTATCCCTCTTTATTTAGCTTTGGCAGTGTTGCTAGACTTCATTCTTCAACTGTCGGCATTTGTGGCTCTTATAGTGTTTGATATTTTGAGAGCTGAGGATCACAGAGTCGACTGTTTTCCATGCATAAAAGTTACTCCACATTCTGATGAACCTAACCAAGGTTTTATGAAAACTTCTGAAATTGGATTATTCTAAAGTCTTCAGTGATATTTATGATCCATGGTTGCTTGTCTAAGTTAGATCTGCATTTCTTCCCACCTGTGAATCTTCTTAATTCTGATTAGACAATTGGAATAAATTCTAGGCTTCAATCAGGGGAAACCTGGGCTTCTTTCTTGGTACATGAAGGTATGTTTGTAGTTTGTGGCAGAAATCATATAATTGCAGAATATTCATCTTAAATTTTGAACAAATGAACTTGTGGTGCACTTCATGCTTTCCTTTGATCGAATATTTGATATTATTCTGCAATAGGTTTTGGAACAATGATACATTTTCACTTGTGATATTCCGTAATTTTTGAATTGTTATTGTGTTGTAGGATGTTCATGCACCCCTTCTTGGACTTTGGGGAGTTAAGATAGCTGTTATTGTCATCTTTGTTGGTTTTACTTTAGGAGGCATTGTAAGCTTCTCGTTTCCCATTAACTTTCCTAATGATTGACCATACAGTCACGTGACATTGGAATAGTTTTTGTAAAATCCTTGCATGCTCATGCAAGGAGACGTGACATTGGAATAGTTTTTGTAAAATCCATGCATGCTCATGCAAGGAGAGTAAATGAGCGTTTTTGCATTGGTTCATCTTCATCTATGTAAATTACTTGTGCCTTAATGCAATACCTTGCAAGATTTAACTGTTATTACATATCCACTATTACTCAAGTAGTTTGCATACTTTATTCAATCATTATAGGCGTTATCTACAAAGATTGAGGTTGGATTGGAACAAAAGATTGTCCTCCCACGAGATTCTTATCTTCAGGTTTGAGCTCAGAGTTTGGTTTTCTGAATTTTATGAGTAATTTTCTCTCATTGTATTTCTTGCTTGTTCCTTGCCATTTCATTTTTCTTCTTTTCTTATATCAGGATTATTTCGATGATCTCGCAGAATATCTACGAATTGGGCCTCCATTATATTTTGTTGTGAAGGATTATAATTATAGGTATCTGTCTATATTGTACTGCACCTTAACCGTGGGAATATTATTTCCCAATTTCAGTTTCTTTATTTATTTAATTGTTTTCAATTATTTATCTGTGTGTGTGTATTTATATTATATGCTTACCTGGGTTTATAAATTGAGTTAATTAACTATTTATTTAATTGTTTCAATTATTTATCTGTGTGTGTGTATTATATGCTTACCTAGGTTTATAAATTGAGTTAATTAACTATGTAATGAAATTTAGGGAACAAATGGAGAGGGCATAAATAGACACGTGCTGGCTATCCTAGAATTAGAAATAATTGGCTGTCTAAGAAACTGCGAGAGAGCATTTGGGGGAAGGGGAACAAGAAAGAAAAACTGTTACCTAAGTGAAAAATACTCTTACAGAATAACATTTGTTTTAACGTCACTGATATGTTACGTATTCATAAGAATCAATGCATTATTTGAAGCGACTAGAACTAATGTATAGCATTGTACTAATGAGACATTTGTCTTGCAGCTTTCTTCCACGGGAAATTTTCTCAACTCCTATCCCTGGCCTTGTTTACCAGACTATTTAGAAAACAGTTTTATCCTTTTGTTTTACTTGTGTATAAGAACTACGGGTAGCTTGTTAAGGCTAATCTGCTGTCTACTTGAAATCCTTATTCATGAGCTCTGAATTTCCATGGGAAGAACAACTTTAATTGTTCTAGAGATTTATCATCTGTAGAAACAAACTAATGAAAACAAGAGAAAATAACTCTTAAAAGATGGGCAACTGAACACGCTTCACTGAATGTTTGTTCTTATAAAACTGATATTGAAAGGAAGACAACTCCTAAATAGATCCTGAAAGTCGTAAAGCAAAATTTCTTTCTGATTTCATGTTATAGTAAACTTAGTTTTATTTCTCCGCATTCAAAAAATTTTGTCGAGTTGATGATTTACATTGAAATGCATATCAATCTGATGTTCAATAATGTCACTCAGCTCAGAATCTAGACAAACGAACCAGCTGTGCTCCATCAGCCAATGTGATTCGAACTCCCTGTTGAATGAGGTAAGCCAAATGTGTGGAGTAGATTACACTTTTGAATATTAGTTACACAAAGTTATTTATTTATAATTGCTCATAGTTCAGCTTTGATTGGCCAAAAAGATGGTGGAACAAGTTTGATATTTTTTAAGCCCAAAAATGGCAGATATTTGCATGTTGGGGTCAGGTAAAATATGTACACCATGTTTAGCCACGTGCATGCCTTGCACTAAGTACACTACAAACAGGAGTTCTTGTGTCTGTTATCTTGCTTGATGAAATGACATGCTTATTTCCTTTGTAAGATTACATTTATTTACCCTGTTACATGCTCCTTTTAGATATCAAGAGCGTCATTGACACCAGAACTGAACTACATTGCTAAACCAGCAGCCTCATGGCTAGATGATTTTCTTGTATGGTTATCACCAGATGCATTTGGTTGCTGCCGGAAGTTTACAAATGGTTCTTATTGCCCACCAGATGATCAGGTTGGAACTCCATATGTTGGTTTTCTTTCCTTGCTAATGCTTTATTTTACTGCTGATGGTTGCACTTTGTTCCGCAACTTGAGATTTTCTGCAACCTCCAACTATATATATTGACCTGATGCTGCATATAATTATTTTAAATGGCAAATAATTATTCTGCATGATTCTATATGCCCATCCTCTAACATAAGTTCTATTCAATACAATTGCCCAACCTGACACCAATTCATGACTACTAAAGTATGCCAATTTCTTTCTCCAGCCACCTTGCTGTTTTCCGGATGAAGGTTCCTGTGACTCAAGTGGAGGAGTGTGCAAAGATTGTACAACTGTAAAGTTCAATTTCTATTCCATAGTTTCCAATACTTTAAGGTGGCATTTCGTATGTGGTAAGATTAGATGCTTGAGAATAGGATGCCTATGTTTGGTAAGGTGGGAATAAAATTTCTTAACTGTTTAGATTTTTATTTATTTATGGTCTAAAACCATCTAATTATTTTTCATTTTTTTATTTTATTTATTTATAAATGAATTACTTAAAAAAAATTAGTGAACTTTATTGGTAATTTTCATAACATAATTCACTCTAAATTTAAAATAACTATTTCTAATTGAAAAGTTTAATAATTAAAATTAAGTAAATTTAACCAAGCAATTAGAACACGGGTTCCAATGCCAAATAGTATGGGTTTTTGAAACCCCATTACTGCATACCAAATACCCCTAAGATTGCTGCATATTGGTTTAAGTTGGACTGATGTAATCAGATAGCTTTTACAGTAATTAAGTCACATCTAACTGGATTAGTGCCGAAAGAAATGGACATGGGCTGATTTGTGTTTGTTTTCCAGTGCTTTCATTACTCAGATTTGGTTGCTGGCCGTCCAACTACAATACAATTTCAGGAGAAGCTTCCATGGTTCCTCAATTCTCTGCCATCTGCTGATTGTGCAAAGGGTGGTCATGGAGCTTATACCAATAGTGTGAATTTGAACGGTCATATCTTTTCCATTGTTTTTTTTTTTTTACTTTTTTTGGCTTTGATAGTTGTTTTGTGTGAGATTTTTGTCAGTTAATGAGTGCATTAAATCCTTGTTAGCTCTGTTTATGACACTAACTTATTTCAGGTTATGAAAGTGGTATCATAAAAGCATCTGAGTTTCGGACCTATCACACACCACTTAATAAACAAGTATGCCAATAGAATAGTGTTATTCATTGTTCTGAACTCCGTCCGCATCATTCTGTTGAAATCTTTGTCAACATTCTTTCAGGGTGACTATGTTAATGCACTGCGAGCTGCAAAGGAGTTTAGCTCAAAGATGTCTGATTCTTTGAAGGTTTGAATTGCATTTTGCTTTTAAAATTCCAATTGTCTTGGCTATTTAAGGTTTTCTGCATGCTTTTCTGTACTCGACCTCACAGCTGCATAATAAAATATGAAATAGATTCTGATCTATACCCAACTACAAGAAATACTCGATAACTAAAAATATACTTCTTTTTTCTGTATAAATTAAAGATTTTTTTAATATGAATGAACAAATCTGACAAAGGAAGCTGCACATAACTGAAAATGATAATACAGAAATACATGATAATAAGGAGATAAGAATATAAGAAACTCATACACAAATATGTAAATTAGAATTGAAAAAAGTTGACAGTGGTTAGGGGAAGTTTGAAGAGAAAATTTCAAGTTTATTATATGTCAAAGCGTTAACAAAGCAAAGTTAACGCAAAATTCAACTGAGACCTTAGAGGACTAAAATAAGAAAACCTTCCCATCAAGATTGAGAAAGAAAAACACGGAGATTACAAAAGAATTTTTTCTGATGGGAGCTCCAACATGAAAACATAAACCGTACACTGTTACAAAAGTATCTTTAGGAGGACTTTCGATCTTAAAGAATCCTTAAATTTCTCTCTTTCCAAATGTGGAAAGCTCTAGTTGCCGAATTCCAAAAGACTTCAGGTTTGTCTTTGGACCACCAAACCGTGGGGACTTCCAAACATCAAGCAATTGTCCATAAGTTCAGGTAGACACAAGGACGACCAAAAGGAGTACAAGATGAAAGACCATCCCGTAAATGCAAAAGAGCACTGTAGGAGAGATGTTCCAAGGATTCTCCATTAGAACTAAACAAGCAACAGATTGAGGGGGAGATGGCCCAAATTCAGACCTGACCGAAAGAAGTCCTTAGCACAAACTTTAAACCTCCTAACATTTTTGGTCGTGGCAGTAATCGTTAGAAAGGCCAACTTAGAAGAGAAAGACCTAGCAATATTGAGCACCCAAGAAATCTTATCTTTGCTTGAGCCTAAACAGACAACCTCCCGTCTTCTTTATTTAGGGAAATGACCATTGAGATACAATTCATATGACGAGATTTATTCTGTCCAACACTTCTTCACATGGTTTTCTGGAGTTGGATAATTCCTCAACACATGGAAGATCAGTGAGCTTGAATATGCAGTAATTTTCGGATTATGTTTTCCTTGGGGTAGTTACATAATAGAAAACTTTTTCAGGGCTATCCTTGTATTGATTTTGGTAACACTGATTGATTTGTTGAGGTTTTTTTTCCCTTCTATTTGATTTGGTTGCCATTATTCTATCATATCATGGAGGACTATTTCCCATTTTTATATTTAGTTACATTGATCAAATCATCAAGGAGAGACTTCTCGATGAAAATATAAATCTACATCACTGGCCTGTTAGATGGTTTAATGTGATGTAGACTAGGTGAATATCATGCCTGTAGTGAAGCATCACTTATGGAAGTGCTAAGTTGATCTTATTGAAGGGTTTTTTGGTTGCTGTATGTGGAAGCTCCTTGGTGGGTTTCCAGTATTATATTTTTTGCATGCTCTTGTGATTGACATATATTTGTATTAGCATGTGTCAATTATAACTTCTAAAACTACCTTGTTTGGTAGTTCTCAAGGAGTTCATTGGGTCAAGACACTTGCATCCAAAATGGTTATAATTTGTTAGATTTTTACAGTATTTCACATGAACAGCTGTAGAACTGAATTTGCTTGATCAAGATCCATATATGTTAATGACGGTTGGCTCTATTGCAGATGGATATCTTCCCATACTCGGTCTTCTATATATTCTTCGAGCAATATCTTGATATATGGAAGATAGCTTTGATTAACATTGCCGTAGCACTTGGTTAGTATTCAAGTAAACAGAGAACCAAAAAACATGGCTTTTCTTTGCGAAGTCTCATGAAATTTTACTGCTAGGAGAATTTGTTAATTGTTGTATTTGATTACTTTAATCATGTTTCAAGTGCATAGCAATTCAATAAATATTTGGTGTATCTGTATCTTTCTTAAACAAATTATTGTTATTTTTTTTATTATTGATAATATAGATGCCTGTGTTACTTGATTGGCTTTATTAGCATCTTAACTATCTTAGAATCTCATTGAGGATTTTCTTTGATAAAATTGCAGGGGCCGTATTTGTTGTCTCTCTGGTTATCACATCTTGGTATGTATCTCATTTTGTGTTTGGCTGACGTATAAGTACAACACATTCTTTTTTACAGCGTGAAAAAGTCCCTTCTTTGTTTGATCATGCCTTCATCTATTGACATCCAAATGCAGTTTGTGGAGTTCGGGAATCATTATACTTGTTTTGGCTATGATTATTATTGATCTCATGGTACCTCTTTCTTCTCTTGTTACATTACAATGACTATACTAATATTTCCTATTTGAGACGTCTAAAATTTGTTCTCCTTCTCTGTTTACTTTCTTTCACTTTCTCTTTCGGCCATTTATATATGCTTTTGAGTTTGTAAAGTCCAAGTTCCTGTCATAAACTGTTAATTTTTTTTTTCTTTTTCCATTTTGGCAGGGAATAATGGCAATTCTGAATATCCAACTAAATGCAGTCTCTGTTGTCAACTTACTAATGTCGATAGGAATTGCTGTTGAGTTTTGCGTTCATATAGTTCATGCCTTTTTGGTTAGTATCAACCCTAATTGCTTCATCAGGCTACTTAACTTCATAGTTTAGTTTACTAATTTGACTCATTCATTTCTTTACGTAAAGGTTTTGGGGCTTAAGTAATCGTTAACCCTTGGTGTGGTTTCTGGTGGAGTACCACCATTGTTTGTACATGTCATTTTTATTACCAGACCGTTGATTCATATGGTATTTCATGGGAAAAGCAACAGAGTCAATTAACTAGCACATTACTGGATGATGCACCTTGCATATTATTATCTTTTATTATTTTTTATTTTATGACTTAAGAACTTATTTTGGTCAAATGCTATCTTGTAGGTTAGCTCAGGTGATAGAAGCCAGCGAGCACGGGAGGCTTTGGGTACAATGGGGGCCTCCGTCTTCAGGTAGACATTGTATTTCGCTTTCCATATTTGGTATTAAAATACATTCAGTACTTGGTATCTGCACCTTGGGATCAAATTCAGTAAAAGATTGATTACTTCCGTGGTTGGAAGATTTAATTGTTAGAAGAAATAATTTCCTATAGTTTTTACTTTGTGCAAGTCACAAGTGTTATACTTGAATGAGATTTTCCTTGTACATGGCTACTAAACATTTTCTAGAAGAGGTGTATTTCCACTTCTGTGATCCTAGTTACTCATTGAGCAGTTTCTTCTGAGAAAAAAAATGATTGCTTCCATTTTAGTTTTAATGAGAGAGAAGGTATGTAAATTTCTCATGATCATGATTTATGAGACCACTTCTCTTTGGAAAGTTTTCAACTTTCTATCTTACTCCATTCCCCAGCATCCTATATGATGGGATTTTGCAGAAGTTAATGTTTACACTCGTTTTGCAGTGGGATTACTCTCACAAAGCTAGTTGGGGTCATCGTTCTTTGCTTCTCGAGATCAGAAATATTTGTGGTATCTGGTCCCTAATCCTTACTCTCTTAAAACGTTATGGTAGTCTCTTTTGGGAACATAAAAAAAATAAATTCTGGCTGTGGGTTCTGTAGGTCTACTACTTCCAAATGTATCTTGCATTGGTTATCATCGGTTTCCTCCATGGCCTTGTGTTTTTACCTGTAAGTTCAAAAGCTTACCGATTCTTATAACAACTGACTTCGCCCCTCAACCATCGAGGGATGATCGAGCCAAGCCATATATGTCTTATTTGTTCTCCCTTGCAGGTAATATTGAGTATGATTGGACCACCATCAAGATATCTGGTTAAAGACGATGCTCCTACGGAGACTGAGCTTCTTGTTTCATAAAGCATGAACTATTAATGAAATTCAAAAGTCTGTCATTATGACAAGTTATAATCTCACTTCACAGGATAATGTATATATTTACGTACAGAACTAATTTAGGAGTTTTTCATTTACAGAAGAATCGAGATAACAATTGTGGGGTTTGGAAATTGAACCATAACCTTAAGGGTGATAATAGTTGCCTTATCGCGTTATACACGAAGTGATACTTTATGTGCTGCGTGGTTGATAAGCGCCAAGGTTGCTCGGGTTTACAAAGCTAGAGGTCCTTCTAGGATCCTTGCAAACATTCACAAAAACGACTAACTTACCGAATGA